TATTACACTATATTATCATTGTTTAGTTAAAATAGTAGTTAAAAATTCCTAAAGTTTAAATTTATGATATAATTTGTTATTTTAATCAATTAATTAATATTATTAGTTTATATTCAAAATATCTTACTCATATCTACAACTCTGTGTCTAATGAAATTAATGGATATCTTCAAATTATGTTTTTAAATTCTAGGTTTGATAATGCATGACTCAAATTTCTGTGTTCCTTATTTATTTAACATACATCACCTCTAAATAATCATGCAGTTATGATTTTTAGTTCTGATTGTATGAATTATAATGAATCAATGCTCATAGCTACATATATCTAATTAACACATTCTTGTAATTAATAATAATAGAAGTTTTTTTTTGTGGTAAAATCAACCTCATTATCTGTAACATTACAATATTCAAATTTCACATTTAAATCCAGGGAGGTTAATGCCTAATTATTTGATTATTATCTCATTCCAAATATTAGCTAGTAGGTATCCTTGTTTCTAATGTGAAGATTCAAAATGCTTAAGATCTCCTCCTCTTGAACCCAGTCTACATTTTGAATCCCCTTAAAAGTAAAGAATTGTCTTGCCTGCCTATACTTGCCTTTGTTAACCCTTGCCTGTCTGGATTTGCTTTGGTCAAGACCCTGTCTGCCTGGAATTACCTTGGTTAACCCTTGCCTACCTGAACCTGCCTTGGTTAACCCTTGAGGAGAGCAAAAAACAAGTTGCAAGAGAGTACAGTTCAAACAGCCTGCCCTTCGGGTTTGTCCCCTCTCAGATCTCAAGCTGGATTTAGCTCATTTTGTGCCATTACAAAAAGAATCAGTCCATTTTCATATCTTACTGTTCCCACCCTAAAAGGAGGAACATATCCAAAATGCAAGCCTTCTCTCTCTGTAAGAGAGATACAACAAAACCAGATGATCATTTCAACCTTGTTAGGCATCATGAGTGAGGTATAGCCGATACCACTTTGGCACCGTGAGCAAGAAGTCCTTGTCTGGATGACTCTTTAAACTTGGGAAGAGCAAAAAAATTAGGCCTGCCTGCCTGTACCTACCTTGGTTAACCCCTGATTGCATGGACAAATGTTGGACCTTACGGTAAAGCTTTACCTATTTGTGTAACCAGCCAAAGACTTTATACTTTTGTTTGCTTATCCTGTCTAGAATATCAACTTTATTTTATTTTGATGGTATTACCACAAACCTGTGACACGTCCATAATGCAACAATTTTGGATGTCTGATTGACAGTCAAGAGGGTGTAACAAGGTTAATTTATAAAAGGGCAATCAAAGAATCAAACCCCTGACCAAAAATTAATTATAGGAGACATCCACAGGCTACAACTTAAACCCCTGTGTCTTTCTTTCCAATGTGTTGATCTTAGAATGCCGCTGTGGAACCAGTTATAATGAAATTTCTAACAATGTTCATTTGCAGAACATTACTTGCCTGGCTTACCCTAATGTAATCTTTCTGTAACACCTGCAGGAATCACAGTTGCTGTCTTTCTGATGAAAAAGTATAAATCCATCCCGGTGCATCTGAGTCAATCCTGTTTAGTTTATGTGTCATGTTGTTTCTAGACTGATGTCTGACTCTGACTTAGCTTACCTGGACACTGCTTACCGGATAATCTGGCCTGTTACTTCTGCTGTTTCTGGACAGATACCTGGCTCTTACCTGGTTTTGCTTATCTGATTTTTGTTTACCGCAAAATCTCCCTTGTTTGTAACCATTGCAGTTTTTGTAGATTTATGCTTGAATTGTTTTTTGCTTTTCTGGATTCCATATAAATAATTGCAATGTTTATTTTGCTTTGTTCATTTAATAATAAAACATTTGGTATATGTTTACATGGCCTCATCAATTCCAAAAGACTTGCAAATATCGAATGCTCAGCAACTCTTACCCGAAATCCCAAAACAATACTTGATAGCATATCTGACTTACATATTTTTCCTTAATTATCTATTTTGTCCATAAATTTTAAATTAATTTTGAATTCCCTCTTTAGTAAATAACTATGAGCATGTAGTTTTTGCAAATTAAATTGCAAATAATAGGCCATAGTAGCTAAATTTGAAAATTGCTTTCGGCTTCACTGTTTTGAAGTAAAATATGTAACCATCTGGCCTGTTTCCAACAATTATGTGTTTAATGAATAACATTGCAAATCTTGAGAAAGTTTAGGAGGCAAATATTGCTCTGTAGGTGGTGTGCTTATTAAATTCAATCTTTGAACCTTTGTTTTAGGAGGAGGATCAGAACAAAAGTCAACATGACATTGCAAACATAAGCTAACTGGAAAACCATTTGTCTATCTATCTCTCTATCCATCCATCCATCCATCCATTCATTTATCTATCATTAAAAATATGTGCTTTGAAATCCCCAACTCATCAGACTCAGTTTCAGTGGACAGGTACAAGCAGGTTATTGATAAACAGTCTGATAACATTATTTTAAGACTTTTGTTCTTGGACTCACCTGGGTAGTGTGACAGTGTAATGAGTGACTGTGAAACACATTTGATGAAAAGTCATTTTACCTGAAACCATTTATTTAAGCCAGCATTGTTAAAGTCATATATGTTCTATAAAGCTACAATGATTTCATTCATTTGCACACATTGCTGCTCAAAAGGGGAAAAGCAATGTTAGTAGAAAAAAAAGGTTCTATATTAAAACAGCTTCTTGAATACAAATAATTATTCTATAGTTCTTTATATTTTATACACTAGTTTATATATACACAGTACCTTTCAATAAATTACATTTTAACTTTTAGGATGCATTTCCACTTTAAGCAAAATTAAATACATTATCTGGTAGTACCAAAATCATGTGTAGCATGCAATACCATTTCCATTTATATAGTCTGCTATTCTACTTAAAAGTTACTGGGATCCAAAATTAATTATTTACATGAAATAGATAAAATATTATGGTATTTGCAGACATAAAGAAACAGTTGTTGAGAAGGCATATCTCAGTGGTACAGGTTCCACATAATAGATTAAAGTACATGAAATATATGAATTTTATTCAGACATTATAGGATTTACAATCTCCTACAGAACGTTCTTCCAAGCTTCAGGACCTAACACATGCTGCTTATATTTTCACTGATAGCAACATTTAACAGTTGCCACATAAAAATTACTGTTGTATTAAATATTTTTAAATAATATTTATTAATCATCTAATATAAATCTAATGAGTAATCTACATTTAATATGTATATGAATAATGACCACTTCCAAATCCTGGATCTATGTCGAAGGTTACCGGTTTGCTGAGCAAGGCAAAAAAGCAAAGGTGAGAAAGATCAGAAAGACTTACTAGAGCAGAATGGTTCTTATTTCACATTCTATGTTTCTGTTGCTAGGGACAAATGGATTTTCACATAAAAATCTAAATTAAAAAGTATATATGTATAGTAGGTGTCAAATGTCTGTGACACATTTGGTGCATATACAGCTTGTTGTTAGCTGTCTTTTTTATGAGTGACTAAACTGTGACTTAATGATGGATAAATGATTGAGCTGTCCAGAAGAGCACATTGCTGTTGATTTAGTTCAAAGTACTCTATCTTGCTAAGTGACGTGCTTAGTTGAAACATTGTATACGTCAAGAGTATGTCTGATCTTTAGTGCATGCTTGTTTTAGCAAACGCCTTGTCAGATATCAAGAAAAACAGTTGGTTATGCTGAAATTCTAAGTTCAACGGCAGAGTTAAAGTCAAAGTGTATGTATTTCACTAAGTTGAACCAACATATGTCCAAAACTTGGTGTTCTGAAAAACGTTTGGTTTTCAGGAAAAATAGTAAACTGAATTTTCTCACCACAAATCCATGAATTTGGATTGCACAGAATTGAACAGTAAGACAATGTTTACTTGAGATTGACAGGGTTAATATTCTGTGGGACTTCCAGATCTAGAATGGAGGACTGCAGTGGTGGTGGGTATGGCAATACCCAGTGACCATAACCTCGAGAAGATGGAGCATGAGAACGTGGACAAATACCAAGGACTGAAATAGAAACTAGAAAGGATGTGGAAAGTGGAGACAGTAGTTGTCCCAATTGTGAGAGGTGCACATGGGGCTGTAGAGAGAAAAGTATATGCAACTATATGGACAAACTCTTGTATACATTATATACAGGCAACATCATTAACAAGATGAATACTCCTAAGTGGACTGTGCTGTCAGGACTTAGAATGTAGACCCTAAAGGACACTATATTTAATTCATAACTAATACATTTCTTAAATGGGAGTATTAAAAATTCAAGACTTGTCCTGGCACATTCCTGTACTAATTCACTTTTGAGTATAAATCCATTGTTATATATGAACATCTATTACATAATAAAGATGATACTTGTATATTGTTAATGCCCACAGTAAACAACTTGATAGATACAGACATATACTCAACACATTGTTAAGAAATTAAAAAATACACAATCAAGCTGGAGCTGTAATTCATAAAAAAGAAAGGAAGGAAATGGTTTCATTAAGTCCTTTTGGAAATACAGTGTCTAATTCAGAAATCCAAAATGCTTCCCGGTTCAACAATATTCTCCCACGATCGCCTGCTCTTCGTGATATGGGCACATGGTCTATACCTAAAAATTTTAAGGAAGCCAACGGTGCTTATATTGCAGGAAGTGCTTAGCCACTGGTTTGTCAGATGTACCATCCCTGTAGGCCAACCTGATGCTGGAGCGGTGGCCTCTGATTCTTTCACACATGGCTGTTTCGATTTTCCCTATATATACCAGTCCACACGGGCATGTAAGTTTATATAGTACATGTGTTGTTTTAATTGTGTGTTGTATGGTGTACTTCCTGCTCGTATGTGGATGGATAAAACTTTTTGAGGGCATCATGTGCCCACACGTTACGCATCCCAAGCAGCGTAATGATCCTCGTTTCTGGATCACACTTTCATTTGCATAGCTATTGATTGGATCTGTATGTACCAACATATCCTTCAAGCTCTTATTTCTCTTATGGCAAATCAGTGGAGTTTCATGAAAGACCTTAGGAAGTGTATCATCAGTAGCCAGTATTCTCCAATTTTTCCGGACTGTTGCAGAAATCTGAGGAGTCAAATTGTGGAAAGTCATGGGAAAGACTAATCGTTGAATTGAAGATGCCTCCCTCCTTGCACGAGTTGTCTTAGCATCTTCTAAAGCTTTACTGAGGGTATGGCTGTGATATCCACGATTCAAAAACTTGTTAGTCATTTCCTGTAGCTGCATTTCTTTTACAATGTCATTCAAGTTGTTCCTTATTACTCCAAGGTATTGTGCTTTCGGTAAAGATTTCTTTAAAGACTCAGGGTGTGCACTTTGTGCATGGAGTAAGGTGTTTCGATCCATGGCCTTTGTATAAAGGCAATACTCAATGTTATTCTTCCCAATAGATAATTTGACATCCAGGTATTGTACTTTATCTGGGCTGATGTTTGCTTTTAATCTAATCGGGGTTTGTAGTCTATTCAAATCTTCAACCATAGTGTATGCCTCTGCTGACGTGCCCTTCCAGATAATTAACAAGTCATCAATAAAGCGATAATAACCTTGTATTAGGTGGGCATACGGTATCAAGATGTTATTCTTCTCATATACATACATGTACGCATTAGCATACATGGGGGCCATTGCCGCCCCTATAGATGTACCTGATACTTGCAGGAACCATTCCTTTTCAAAGCGAAAATAGTTATGCTCCAGGGCCAGTGTCATGACTTCCAATACAAACTCTATGGGGAGTCCTTTATTGACTGATGAGTGGGATAATACTGTTCTCATAGCCTCCACCCCTTCGCCGTGCGGTATAACGGTGTATAGACTCTTCACCTCCATAGTAATCAAGATGGGTTTATTATCCTGCTACATGAATTCAGCTAATCTCTGTAAAAGTGTTGGTGTATCTTTTATACAGGTTTCTAAAGCTTCAACTGGCTTCTTAAAAAGAGAATCTAGCCACTTGGCCAGTGGTTCCAGTAATCCATTGATTGCAGATACTATAGGACGTCCTTGAGGTCTTTGAGAGTCTTTATGGATTTTAGGTATGCTGTAGATAATTGGGCTACTTGGATGTTGCTGATTTAGAAATTGATATAATTCAAGATCTATGAAGCCTGCTCTTAGCCCAGAGTATATCCTGCATGATACTTTGGATCCTTTTAGTAGGGTCTCCTTCCAACTTTCTATAAGTATTGGTATCATATAATTGTTGTTTTAATTCATCAGCATAATATTGGTAATCGATCAGGACTATCCCTCCTCCTTTATCCGCGGAACAGATCACTATAGAAGAATCTTCCCCGAGATTTTTGAGTAATTGTCGTTGATGCTTGGTGATGTTGTGTCGTGTGCTACCTCATTTGGGCATTATTTCATGAACTTCCCTGTTTGTCATAGCTAAAAAGGTTTTAACTGAGGATTTGTTTGTTACAGGATCAAAGGTGGACCTGAGCCAAATTTTCTCTGTTGCTGCATTGTTAGAGGGTGTTGGAGCTCTGTCTGGGTGATTGAAATATTCTTTTAAACGCATATTCCTGCTGAATTTGTACCACTCAACATTCCACTGGAATCTATTTTTTTGTAGTGGTTTTGTAGTGGGTACAAATGATAGTCCCTGGCTCAATAGATTTATTTCATCCTGGATTCATGGTCTATGAGACAGGTTGAATATAGGTATTACTTCCTGTGAGGTGGTTTGCCCCTTGGCATGCTTCTTGGTCCTGCGGCTTCTCCTGGTTCTGCGTTTTCTTTTCTTTGGCTCCTGGTGGAGATACTAATTTCTGGGACTCCTAAAAAATTTGAAGAAGATGGTGTTTTGGTGGATTTATTATGATAATTTTCAGAAGCTGATTCACCTGATGTGTTGTCAATAGTGACTATCCTGGGTTTTATAATCCTTCTAAGTTGTCGTCTCGGTCTGCTCATGTTGCTGCCAGATAACCATCTATAGACTTGATGGTCTTGATAGTCTCGTTGAACCTTTTAAAATTTCTGTTTTTTTAACGTAATCAGCTCATTTTTATACTTGAAAAGATCTTCTTTCAGTTTTTGCTGTAGTTTTAATCCATCTGGAGAGGCAAGTAACATGGCATGTTCAGATTCTGTCTCCAGGATTTTTTGATTGACTTCTGTTAAGTCCTCTTTCACATCTTTAATGATAATTAACATCATGTCTAAAGATGCCCTGTTCAACACCATAGTCCATTCTTTGCAAACCTTATCTTTACCCCTACCAATGGTGGGGATATTCATTATCCTGAACCCTCTAGGGATTCTTTTAGCCTTATAATAGTCCGAGAGAAAGAGGCCCGAAGGTCCAAATCAATGCTCTTCCTCTGTAATTTAGATAATTTAAAATATACATCTTTAGCAGTAATATTATATGTTGGCTCCAATCCTGTCTGCTCCCATAATATATTTTGTGCCTCCTCCTGGGAGAACTGTATTATCTCAGCCTGTTTTGCAAAAGCTCCAGCTTGAAATAAAAATTCATCCATGTTTAATTCTTTAGTGAATAAGCCGATTCAGCCATATACTTATTGCCTTAAGTGTGCCAGGGATGCACAAAATTGTTACAATTGTGGAAAAAGTGCTTGTGCAAAGAGTGGGGCAAAAGCCCAGATAACCCTCACAATACAAAGAAAAACAGAAAACTCTTGCATTCACGCTATAGGAATCCCTTGTTTGCCGGGTGCTCAGCCAGGGCTTGGTTATCCAAATATCCAAAGAGGTAGCAGCACTCACGGAATTAAAAGTTCAAATCTTTATTAGGTCATATTAAAAGTCAGGATCGACATTTCAGTTCTCTATATGGGTGGAGCCTTGTTTGCACATGCGCACGGAGCACTTTAGAACGCCAATCAGAGATGCACTTCACCTGGGGGTAAGCTAATTTAGTTAATGTATTTGTCTATATATATGTTTTCCTTGTTGATTATGTAGTTATATTGATCCTGAGGAAAGTCCCATATAGAGGACTGAAACGTCGACTTTTAACATGACCTAATAAAGATTTGAACTTCTAATTCCGTGAGTGCTGCTACCTCTTTGGATATTTATTTATATAATATATAGGTAGAAAGGATGCACTCTCCGGTCTTTAAATATTACAAAATTATTTATTCCATCACATGGTATGTTGCAAATTGATCGACGTTTCGACCCGTTCGGGTCTTCCTCAAGATCAATACATACTTCTAAAAACATGCTTTATATAAGAAAAAGTATATTGTACTCACCAATAGTGATTGTGACCCTCCTCCCCCTGCTTGGAACCTGGAAGTGTTCGACGGGCACCACGTGATCTGCGTCGTGACGTGACCACGTTGAGCAAACGTGAAAAACGTAGTTGCTAGGAAACCAGTGTAAATAATTAGTATAAGGCCGGTTATACAAAACTCCGGCATTTAAGAACCCTATGCGTATGGAACGTGGTTGCTAGGGAACGAATGTGTAAAGCTGATTGATTTTATCCAGTTGAAGAAGCCACGCTAGTAATGGCGCAACGCGTCCCGGTTTTTTAGCACATAGAGGCTTCTTTTATTTGTATTAATATTGTTTGAATAAATCTTTTTTATTTGTTTTCATCGATCCTGGTTCCCAGTATTATTACATACAAGAGGGAGTGCAGTCCCTAATCTGCACAACGCTGAAAATTTTAGTCATTATTTCATGACTCCACATTTGTGAGTACCCATTTGGGATTATATTACTTCATACTCCATACATATTTCTGCAATACTGCGCAATCGGTTGTACAGAACAAGAAAGATATCGAGAAAAGGGGTGGGTCGCCTATACGGACTCAGAAACTAACCAAACCAGAACTGGGTCTATAGCTCTCCGTTTGTGAGTGCATACACAATTGAATTTATATATTGCTTTATAATGTATGATCTGCACTATGCTTAATTATCTTTTATAGGCATCTACTTATTGGGCTTAAGAAAATTCTCCTTTAAACAGCTTTATAAGGTGATTAATTTCTATCTTTACATAAGCGCTACATTCTTATCTTTTATAATACTAGACAGAACCCACAGGCTCCCCAAGACTAAACATCTCCCTCCAGACACCGCAAGAGACACTATCACTAGAGTACATCACTTCACTGTCAAAGACAGAATCATGCAAACGGCCAGAACTACAAGCAAATGGCCAGAAATATACCACAATATCAAGCTATTCATGGATCTCTCCTCGGCAACCATGCTTAAACGCCGTACGTTTGCACCAATAACAGAAGCGCTGAGAAACGCAAATATCCCCTACAAGTGGGGCTTTCCAGCAAAACTGATAATCAAAAGAAACGGCATAGACAAATCCATTATGAATACAGAAGACGGCAAAAGAATGTTGTAAAACCAACCTCAGACAAAATAGATGAATTCCTGTCTAACTTAAACCTACCCAAGCTATCAGAGGAAGACTTAATACCCCTGAAACAACCCTTCTCTCTTGACGCACTCACAACAGCAATTTCACAACTCCTAGCACACAAATCACCAGGCCCCGATGGTCTAACGAATGAATACTATAAAACCTTTTCACCAACCATAGCACCACTATTCCTACAATTAGTAAACAAATGTGCCAGAGAGGGTGCACTACCAAAAGAAATGCTCTTAGCACATATTTCCACTCTCCCCAAGCAAGGCAAACCTCCCACACAATGCAAAAACTTTCGGCCCATCTCCCTCCTAAATGGAGACGCCAAACTATATGCAAAAATGATCAGTAACTGCCTTGCCCCCCTCCTGCACAAATACGAGGCAGCCAGAGCTCGGATAACACTAGGAAAATCCTAAACATGATATCCGCACTAGAGTCCAAAAAATCAACAGGTCTTCTCCTCGCTTTAGATGCGGAGAAGGCCTTTGATCGCCTAAATTGGGCCTACATGACCAAAGTCTTATCACAGTTCAACTTTCTCACATCTACTATAACTAGCATCATGGCATTATACCACCACCCGGCAGCAAAAGTCTCACATGGAGGGTTCCTTTCCACGCCATTCTCCATCACAAATGGAACCCACCAGGGATGCCCCCTGTCACTCCTGTTATATATACTCGCCCTAGAACCCCTGGCCCCAAAGATTCGATTACACCCCGAGATACCAGGCATAAATATCCACAATAAGATGTACAGCCTAGCTTTATTTGCGGATGACATCTTCATAGCACTGTCAGACCCAAAATGTTCCCTTGACCCCCTACTAGACCTACACAGCAATTCAGTAACATCTCATACTACTGCCTAAATCAGGACAAGAACCAAGCCCTGCCCCTAAACTTACCAAAGTCCCTATTAGACGCACTCCGTGCTTCCTACCAGTTTGACTGGAAATCAAACTCAATAACGTACCTAGGGGTGAAGATAACACCCTCAATATTCACTTCCTCACAACTAAACTATAAACCTCTTCTAACACTATACAAGTCAGAAATGAATAGATGGAAACATACAAGACTCTCCTGGTTAGGAAAAATCAACACATATAAAATGATGATTCTTTCAAGTATCCTCTATATTTTTAGAATGATACACTTAGGGATCACAATCCAATACTGCAAAGAATTACAAAAACGATGTGGCACCTTTATCTGGGGTGGTAAAAGACCCAGAGTATCCTTGGCACTCCTCCAGACTGCACCATGACAGGGGAGAGTGGGACTCCCAAACATTAAGCAATACCACAGAGCAGCGATACTTTCAACCGGTATACTTCTCCATGCCCAACCCGGCACGCTACAGTGGGTTGACATGGAAAGAGCACAATTTAAAGAAATTCCTTTAACTGATTACTTGTGGACACCAAAGAGGTTTAAAACCAG